CCCCCCCCCCCGAGCTCGAGAGCGCGCGGAGCTCTCCGACGAAAGCAGTGGACCCAGTAGCTAGACTGCACCAACAGAAACGAACAAGATACAAAAGGTTTAGACTGCGACCCAATCTCAGCTCATCCAACACGTGACATACTACAGGTGGCGTCGACGAACAAGGCAAATAAGCTAGATATGGACAAAGGAACAGAGAACGTATATATGCGACCCACCGAAAACTAGGGCCTGTATTATGTTATTTTCTGTATGCATATATATATATAGCGAGGGAGAGAGAGAGGTTCATCGATAGATAGATGTATAGAGAGATGAGATACTTAGATGGGTAGTTAGATGGATGGATAGATAGCAAGCTAGACAGATAAATAGATAAATAGACAGATGAGAAAGATAGATAGATAGATAGATAGACGGACTAGACTAGACTTGACTGGACTGGACTGGACTGGACTGGACCGGACTCAACTAGACTAGACTAAACGAGACCAGACAGATTAGATAGATAGATAGATTAGATAGATAGGTATACCGTATATATACCACGTAAAACAACGCATACATCTTAGAATTTGTATACTATGTGCATGTATACTGAGTGTATATACACACATACACCCAACATATACTGCAGCTGGTAAATATACAGGGTGCATGTGTATGTATATATATATATGTATGTATGTATGTATGTATGTATGTATGTATGTATGTATGTATGCATGTATGTACATATAGACATATATGTGTAGGTATGTATACATATATATATATATTCGTACATGTATGTATGTATACATACATATGTATATACACATACTTACATACATACATACGATAGAAAGCAGTCGAACCACCCAAAGACGAGCCCACACCCTGCAGCCTGGTAAACCAACCCAGTCACGGCAAAAGTCCCAAGGGCCCTTGCGCAGAAGAACTCCCGGATCCGAATCCGGTGGCGTCCGGGCCCTCCTTTAAGGGTTTAGGGCCTTTTAGGGTTTAGGGTTTAGGGTTTTATTATTATAGCGGTTTACGTGGACCTCAAAAGTATGTAAAATAATAATAGCCCTTTAAAGGTGCTGGGCTAATAGTTTACCTACTTTTGGGGGGTCCAGGTAGGGTTTAGGGTTGCTCCTAAACCCCCAGCCGCTCTCTACATCCCATCATTCTAGTAGAAGCACTACCAACGGCCCAGTGTTCTGAGAACTACAGCATACAAGTAATGTCAATGTTCACTTCTGGCACTGGGAGAAACGTGTACTAACATTGAAAAGACTACGACTATCTCTTGAAAAAAGAATCTTCGTGATCTCCACTACTTGCTCGAAAAAGTGATCGAAACAACCCGCAACCTCAAACCCAGACACCGAAAGCCCTTGCAGAACCCTTATATAAGAACCGCCTCCTCGAGCCCTTCTAACGTCGCGTAAAGGAGCTCTTGAAGGAACCCTGAGATGAGCCTAAACGCTAAATCTTGGGTTCTCGGCACCGTCATCATATGCAACGAAACACCTGATTGGGCTCCATATATACACTTAAACCTTTCAATTCAACGGCCGATGAAACAGCAATCAAGCCCCCATAACGCCCTATAAAACCAAACAGCTCTGGAGTGTCCTGAACCCTAAACTCTGAACCCTAAACCCTAAACCCTCAACCCTGAACCCTAAACCCTAAAGCCTAAACACGAAACCCTAAACCCTAAAGCCTAAACCCGAAACCCTAAAGCCTAAACCCAAAACCCGAAACCCTAAACCCTACACCCTAAACCCTAGAAATCCTAAACCCTAAAGCCTAAACCCAAAACCCGAAACCCTAAACCCTACACCCTAAACCCTAGAAATCCTAAACCCTAAAGCCTACACCCTAAACCCTAGAAACCCTAAACCTAAACCCTAAAGCCTAAACACGAAACCCTAAACCCCAAACACGAAACCCTAAACCCTAAAGCCTAAACACGAAACCCTAAACCCTAAAGCCTAAACACGAAACCCTACACCCTACACCCTAAACCCTAGAAACCCTTAAACCCTAAGCTCTTCACCCAAAAGGTTTCTGTGGCCTCCTTCATCGCCTCGGAGGCCTCCGCTGCGAGGCGCTCAGCGGCTACCACATCGAAACCCATGGCTCCTCCCAAAGGGGGTTCAGGGTTTAGGGGCGCAGGGTTTAGGAGTTTAGGGTTTAGGGGTTCAGGATTTAGGGTTTAGGGGTTTAGGGTTTAGGGTGTAGGGGTTTGGGTTTTAGGAGTTTAGGATTTAGGGTTTAGGGGTTTAGGGGTTTAGGGTTTAGGGTTGAGGGTTTATAGGGTTTAGGGAAGGATACCCATAGTCTCCATTGTAACTGTAGTTATTGCATTCAGGATCCTATAATAAGGTAACCCCAAAGCAGGAACTACGATGGAGACTATAGGTAAACCCTAAAATCCCGAAACGGTCAGAGGGTTCCGGGTCGAGGGGCTTACCTTCGGAAGAAGACCAGTGTTTTAGTGTTTTTAGGATTTTTGGTGTTTTAGTGTTTAGGGTTTAGGGTTCAGGTGTTCTTATGGGGGTATCCATATGGAGCTTACAGGGCTAGGGGTTGTGTGTTCCTGCGCTTTGAATACGGTCCTTTCTACTCGGATTACGGTTGGGGAGGATGGTTGGGGAGGATAGTATAGTATTAAAGCATAGTTGTATAGAGAGTAGACTTGAACAATTCAGTGAACATTTGTTGGCTATGTGTGTGTGTGTTCACCGAGGGATTATGGTCTAGGATGTACAAGATAGGGGCCTATTCTACTTCTTCAGAGGCTTACGGTTTAGAGCTTACGGTCTTATATATATATATATATATACACACACACATGTATGGCTGAGGCTTGGGATTTGGGTCCCTCTGAGTTTGCACATAGCCGAAACGCTTTGCAAGCTCTAAACCCTCAAGGATCTGATGTGTCCCTAAAAGGGCGTGCCTCCAATCAAAAAATATATGGGAGTTTCCGAAAACTAGGGGTACCTTATTCTAGCGTCCTTACAATAAGGATCCTACTAAATTAGGGTACTATGTTAGGGTCCCCTATTTTCGGAAGAGTCCGGGTCGCTGTGGGAGTGCGCTTTTTTATAGTTTTTTCGCAGGATCAGAAAATCGAAAGCATGAAGACAAACAGAAAATACTAGTATAGACACAACTTCACAACGTTGCATGCTGAACTACGACTTCCGAAACTGA